AGAACTTCTGGTCATCTTCTCCTGGGAGTCGTTAAAATATATTCAAGGAAGGCAAAGTACCTCTTGGCGGACTGCAATGAGATTTATGTGAAGATCAAGACATCATTTAGACCCGGTGCGGCTGATTTGCCTGACGATCCTGGTCGTGATGCCGCTCTGGCTTCTATCAGTCTGCCTGAAAATATTAACGATTATGAAGCCACGATAGCTGCTCTGACGTAAGAATTATTTCTACAGATTGTTACCCATCTAGCGCTATTAATCTTGACACGATGAATATCAACCAAAGCCGACCAGAAGACATTACAATGAGGGAGGATTTTGGGGATGTAAATCTTGGTCGGCTTGATGATGACTTCGGCGAGGGAGCTTTTGAAGAACTTCCAAGTCGGGAAGTGTTGCGTGGGGGTGATGGCGGTTATGACAGTGTCTACGGTCGTGCAACTGACGGGTCCGGTCGCTATTCTGTTCGTGAGTCAGATCGACCGTCAATTAGAGTGGACATTGATGCTGATGATACACTAATCGGTAGCAAAGATAAGTCAGGAAAGGTTACGACTGGACTTACACCAGCAGCCGATATCGGTTTAGACGATGATGATTTCGTAGAACCTCTTTACGGTAAGTATATATAATACAGAGCTTTACTTTGAAACAAGAATGGCAGTTCCTTTCAACTAATTTCTCTATGTAACACTTTATTCGATAATAGGGTTTTAGTCCCTGTCAAATACCTTCGTATCATAAATCGAGTGACTGCGGCTTCACATTTTTAACCACATGTCTTACTCGTACTGATGATGTTTTGGCTGTTTTATGCTTCTTTTGATACCTTAACTGTCCCTGTGACAGGTATACATAGAGTGCTCTTACACATCAGTGTTTTGATGAGTATACATAAATAAATATTTAATATCTGAGGCCCAAAAAAGTAGCCTCGCCACATAATGCTGCAGTGGGCTAGTATTTCGCATATGCGTCGGGCGTTCGGTCCAGTGTTGCTCCCAATCTACTTTTGACTGCTATTTTCAAAACCTTCGATTACCCGTCCCAATCAAACCTCACTATTCTATTCCTAAACTTGTTCTGCTTAAGGCGGCGACTCGGATGGCAGCTTTGGTGGAGACATCGAACCTTCGATTTTCACTAACCCTACGCTATTTGGAGATGCCGCCACTACTAATCAGTTAGAGAACTTAGCAGAAGGACTTACGTTGCCTGGTGAGACTGCGACCATGGGTGCAGATGGCGGCGTTAAAGAAGGACCAACAACCGTGGCGAATATAGCTTCTGAGGTCTTGGATAGTAATGGCACAACACCACAAATCCATAATCAACCGCCACTACGGGGTCATTCGACTGTTAATGTGACGGGTAATATCAATGCACGGGACAATACAACTCTGATTTCAAACGAATCAGAAGCCTTTGCTCTGCTTCCTATTGACGTGCAGACTACTGCGGAACCACGACGGTAAAGTTAACTACATCTTGTTTTACCGACCAAGCCCCACTAGTCTTAAATTTGAGAACTTCTTTTTTGTTCACAATGTTGCGTTCTTCACTCTGGATATCTTAACTTCGAAACGTTCTAGTCATTTTCCCACGAAATTTTAACCTGCAAACAATGTCGTGGTGCCTGGATAAGCAATAAGTGAAAACCCCTTATTATTACGTTATCATAGTAAAGGACAAATCTTGTAATTAAATCACCTACTTTATCTTGGGTCAATTTGCTGTTCCGAAGAATTTCGTCAAGAAGTTACGTGGTTTTGTTGCCTTCAAGCATTTTCTGTTCCTGTATTCTAAGTCGTTATGTCAGTCATTGTAAAGTGAATGCAGCATGGAACGTTTTATTGTCGCCTAGTGTAATTAACATCTGCCCTTCTCCGTGCATTGTAGTGCTGCAAAGCGCAGGCGTCGTCTTATTATCGACGAGTTAAAGTCCATCCCAAGTGAATTGATGAAAACTCAGATGCAGGATACTTCGGAAATCGTCACTCAACTTGACCTCGCTCCCCCCACAAAACGTCTTATGCACATGAAGGAGACTGGGGGGTTGGACAAGCTGTTCGCTCTACCCGGGCGGGCGATTCCATCAAGGATTCTTCAGCGTGTCTTTTCACGCAACCTTCACTCGCAGCCCATTCCGGAAGCCTACGAATCAGTCACTTCAATGATCACCTCTGAGGAGAATCGTCCACATCTTATTTTCAGACAGTCAGCATCTACTGTCGGGACAAGCGCTATTGAGGAGCAGTTGCTATCTGCGGCGGCTACTCCTAGGGTAAGTGACCTAATTTTTATTCCCATAGGATGTTGATGCTTAGTGGATACGTGTTACTTAGCAGACAAATTATTTTTTCATAGGACTCAAAAAAACATTCGAACATGACAACGTATCTAAGATACTACCTAAGGCATTTTCTCAAATTCATTGTAATAATTTCTGTACAGTGTTACCTGCACTGCAGTTACTGCCGCATTTGGTATCATTCCCATCATTGTCAACTGGCTACCATGCTGTTAGTTTTGTTAGAAGCGTCAGCTTCTTGACTGCACCGTTCGAAAGCTTACTTTTTTTCAGGAGGTTAATTTAAGTCCTTGAACAAATATGTCTTGTTTCAGTGTTTTTAATAAAGGCTCGTACCTGCTGCCTAGTTTGACACAACAAGTACCAGAAGTTTAAGGAGTTCCGCTGTTTCTTCTTTAATCAGGATTCTCTTTGTACCCCCTCCGGTTTCCAAGTGGGCCAAACCGGTGCCCAGCACCACGAGGGTGCCCTCGGTCTCGTTGCGATCCCCGAAGAATCGATTTCCGGGGGACATGAATCTTGTTTCCCTGGGTACCCGCCTTCCACCGCAGACCATCAGTCACACCATCACGGTGATAAGGTCCCTGGCACGCTTCAAAACGAGCATCATCACAGTCAGATAGGTGTGTTACCGGGTTTTTCATTCAGTGCACATTCAGTTTCCAAAAGGATTGTCTAATAGCCGTTTTTGAGTGTTAACTACGCAACCCTTTTCCCATCAACAGGTTCTGTGATTGTGGTAGGTTATTTTATAGTTACTTGTTTGTTCTGTTGATTTAGTTGGAAGGTTAGAACTGGATTTTTCAAATTGGGCGTGCCTGAACATGCCAAGTCTGTCGATTCCCTCGACCACTTTTTTTCTTCAAATTTTTACTGCACATAAAC